CACATCATCACTCTCACTTCCTGTCTCCCCGCTCTCTCCTCCTGAAAGACGTCTTAAACTGTCTGAATATCATCGTGGTGGATTGCAGTCCCCCGCCTGTTTAAAGAGCTGAAAGCTGATCTTTGCTTTTTAAACGGTCATTTGCTTAACCAAATATTTTCACTCCTGCGACTCAGTTTAAAGCCACTCATCCTTTCAGATATTCCATTAAATCTCCAAAAAGATGAGCAATGAGCCACCACGCTCCGGCTACAAACAGTTTCTTCTAAATTGACAGCTCATTTCAGAGAGCCGCCGCTGTCAAGAGGACAACGCCGCGATGACAGCTGTGAATGGAAATTACCGAGCCACACCTCCACTCTGACTGCTGGCCCCCCCGACTGCATTAGCATCCAGATTGAGCTGTGCAGCGACTCGGGCGCTCAGAGGGGACGCGGCGGTCATGCAGAGTGCACAGCAGGACTTATTTCTGATCGTCTGAAAACCTGATCTCTGCCGGCTCTCGGGAAAACTGGAGAATCTGTCTCACAATCCAATGATGCCCCTCGCTCACAGCACAGCCTTTTTTATATATCATCCCCAAAGACAGCCAGGGCCATGGGCGCCTTTTCTCCACTCCATTAACTGTTTCATGGAACAAGCAGGGAAGCCTCACTGCAGCACACACACACACACACACACACACACACACACACACACACACACACACACACACACACACACACACACACACACACACACACACACTCTGCTGTTTGCAGAGCTGAAGGGTCAGGGTGCTTCCTCTGCTGCCACAGATCTGATTTTTATTTTGTGTGTCTCACGTCACAGATCTGTGTGACTGTTGCTCGACTCCTGAGAAAACACTCGCCTACTCCTTTGCAGTCTGAGACGACACCACAGAGTCTCGCTGCTGCCTGCAGGAAATACACAGTTTCATGTGACTTTACACGATATTTTTGCACCAAACTGCGGTGGCAGCTGCTTCAAATCCTTGACAACCAGAACTGACAGTAAACAGAGAGGGAGGTTTTATTTATCCATATCTTCAATCTGTGTAGTTTGAGGCCAGTCAGCAGGAACTAGTTCATTAAGTCAGGCTGGAAATGAACGCACTAATGCTCTGCAGGTTGTTTTGTCCCTTCAGGCTCACCGTAGATAATCCTTACAGTGTCTCCCTGTAGTCTCACTGATGGAAGACAAAGACACTGCTGCACCTTTAAAAGTCTTCATTATCTATACCGCTTTACACCTGCAGACACAGAGTCACCTGTACACACAGAGTCACCTGCAGACACAGAGTCACCTGCAGACACAGAGTCACCTGTACACACAGAGTCACCTGTACACACAGAGTCACCTGTACACACAGAGTAACCTGTACACACAGAGTCACCTGTACACACAGAGTCACCTGCAGACACAGAGTCACCTGCAGACACAGAGTCACCTGTACACACAGAGTCACCTGTAGACACAGAGTCACCTGTACACACAGAGTCACCTGTAGACACAGAGTCACCTGTAGACACAGAGTCACCTGCAGACACAGAGTCACCTGTAGACACAGAGTCACCTGTAGACACAGAGTCACCTGCAGACACAGAGTCACCTGCAGACACAGAGTCACCTGTACACACAGAGTCACCTGCAGACACAGAGTCACCTGCAGACACAGAGTCACCTGTAGACACAGAGTCACCTGTAGACACAGAGTCACCTGTAGACACAGAGTCACCTGTACACACAGAGTCACCTGCAGACACAGAGTCACCTGTACACACAGAGTCACCTGCAGACACAGAGTCACCTGCAGACACAGAGTCACCTGTACACACAGAGTCACCTGCAGACACAGAGTCACCTGTACACACAGAGTCACCTGTACACACAGAGTCACCTGTACACACAGAGTCACCTGTACACACAGAGTCACCTGTAGACACAGAGTCACCTGCAGACACAGAGTCACCTGCAGACACAGAGTCACCTGTACACACAGAGTCACCTGCAGACACAGAGTCACCTGTAGACACAGAGTCACCTGTACACACAGAGTCACCTGCAGACACAGAGTCACCTGTAGACACAGAGTCACCTGTACACACAGAGTCACCTGCAGACACAGAGTCACCTGTAGACACAGAGTCACCTGTACACACAGAGTCACCTGTACACACAGAGTCACCTGTAGACACAGAGTCACCTGTAGACACAGAGTCACCTGCAGACACAGAGTCACCTGTACACACAGAGTCACCTGTACACACAGAGTCACCTGTAGACACAGAGTCACCTGCAGACACAGAGTCACCTGTACACACAGAGTCACCTGCAGACACGGAGTCACCTGAACCATGAGGACAGGTGACGCAGGATGTTGTGCACGTCTCATGAGCTATGCTGGCCCGTGGTTTAAAACTTGCTGCAGTCTTATAACTGTTAGTCCGAGTACAGCTCAATAAAGAGTGTGTGTGTGTGTGTGTGTGTGTGTGTGTGTGTGTGTGTGTGTGTGTGTGTGTGTGTGTGTGTGTGTGTGTGTGTGTGCGTCTTCTTTTGACAAAGGGACAAACATGTTTGTGTTTCTGTTAAACTCTAAAGTGTTTGTGCAGATCATTTCAGATCGATATTCTTTCCACATTAGCGCTGCTGTGCACTTAAAGTACAACACGTTCAGCTTCTCGTTTGAACTCCAAATGTTTCAAGACAAAGAGGTCACGTTTCTAAGAAGTCTGCAGAAGGTTATATTTTTTTAAACTTGAATGATTGGAGATAACTTTGGCGAGCCCTGCAGCCAGGTTTAATGATCGCAGCGCAGTGAGACTCCCCCGCTGCACGACACGTTTGACTTTGCTGCGAGCGATGTGACACCGTAGCACCTTGGGAGGAGAGCGCGGAGGAAGGTGATATACTCGATCATTTTTGACCTTGACTGGCTTTGATTATAATTCAAACTTCCTTCCTTTCTAGCTCTTCACAGAGCTGATCTAATGCAGCCGGGATTCTCTCTAAATATCAACCATGTCATTTATCAGTTTGGACCTCAGTCTGACAGAAGAGGCTGTGAGCTGAGCTGCTGCTGGCTTTGATGTTTTCAGTTTGGATTCATTCACTCTTCAGCCCTCACAGGTTTTTTATCCAGGAGCTAAACTGTCTGCAGCGGTCTCCTCCTCCTCCTCTCAAAAACAAATCAACCCAAAGAACCGCTGAAAACACGGAATAAAGACGATCTTCAGAAGAGGGAGGCTGTGAGCTGAGCTGCTGTCAGTGCTCTGCTTCTTTTTTATGTTCATCATCCACAAACAGATCCAGTCACAAGAACATCTAACATTCAAAGTCCTGGTTTAGGGTTAGCGTAGTCCAGCTCCTCCTGGAGGATTCGGGGGCGTTCCCAGATCGTTCTGGAAGCTGATGTGAATCACTTCTTACTTCCAGTGAAGCGAGCGGTTCGAGTAAGCGAGGACAGATGTCTGTAATGTACTGGCTGTCATTCATCGGTCCAGGTGGTCATGGAATCTAAACCCTGATTGGCTCTGGAGCCCAGCGTCAAGCAGAGTCGTTGATAATTGATTTGTTTTATTTGATGCTGATTTATGTTCAAAAATAAAAAATAAATCATCGTTAGAAAATGTTCAGGACGTCTCTAACGTATCGCCGGTTTCTTCTGCCAACCAAAGCATGCTAACACATGATTGGTCAATCTAGCTCGGACTACAAATGTAGGACAAACTGAAACGAGACGCCTGGACATGCTGATCATCCAGAAACCCCCCTCACCCCCCAGGTTCAGATTCTACTGAACAGAGATCTTCTAACAATCCTGCAGACTGAGTTCACGCTGCAGAGCGGTGAATATGGCGTGGAGCGGTCCTCAGTCTGATGGCGCCCGGTGTCCTCTGATGAAGCTCTTTAATGGGACCAATGACTGAGAACTGATTCACTCTACGGAGGCTTCAAATGTCTGCAACCAGTAACACCTGAAGATCACCCCGTGATGCACAGCATGCTCGTGTTTACTGACCCACACGATCCTCTTCTCTCTGATCTGATCTCACTGTTACAGAATCCTTCCCGCTGCACGCTGCACGCTGCACGCTGCGCTCTGCAGCCCTTTAACACCCCAACAGTTTCACTTTGAGATCTGACTGCAATTAAAGAATCCCCCCCCCCCCATGTCGGTGTGGGATGCAGCACATCCACACAGACTCAATCTGTCTTTTAAAAAACACTTAGAGTCCAGATCCCGAGGATTATCTCTCAGTGTGCTTTTAATGTTAACGGGTAACAGCGCTGAGAAGCCCGCTGAATCTGTAACCACGATGCTATCGAGCTCCGCCTCAGTAATAATTTTGTCTGTGACCTCCATCCAAAAGAGGAGGAGAGAGCGAAGAATCCTAATGACAATAAGAAGCTAAATATCTTAATGACTATCTGAGAGCATCAGAGTTAAACTGAGATCAGACCACCTCATCATGTCTTCCTGCAGGTCGGTCCTCCTGCAGGTCGTCCTCCTGCAGGTCGTCTTCCTGCAGGTCGTCCTCCTGCAAGTCGTCTTCCTGCAGGTCGTCCTCCTGCAGGTCGGTCTTCCTGCAGGTCGTCTTCCTGCAGGTCGTCTTCCTGCAGGTCGTCCTCCTGCAGGTCGTCCTCCTGCAGGTCGGTCTTCCTGCAGGTCGGTCTTCCTGCAGGTCGTCCTCCTGCAGATCGGTCTTCCTGCAGGTCGTCCTCCTGCAGGTCGGTCCTCCTGCAGGTCGGTCCTCCTGCAGGTCGTCCTCCTGCAGGTCGTCCCGTGCTGCCGCTCCCCGGAGCAGAGAGGTGATTTCATGCTGCTGGAGCTAAATGATATAAAAGGGCATATTGTCCCTTAGCTGTGGCCGTCTTCTTCATCTAGATTTCCCTGCAGCCCACCAGCTGCTGCGTGTCGGCCTTCCCCCAACAATCACGCTCATCTCCATTATGTTTACAGAACAATCCCACACCGAGGAGTGAACGATCGTTTCCCTCCAAAGAAAATCTACTTTTCTTTTTTCTCCAATTTATTGAGCCCAAAGACGAGAAAAGAAATCACAAGAGCACGCCAACATACAGCGCCTCCACATGTTGGATTAGAGCACACACACAATATTACACACACACACACACACAATATTACACACACACACACACACACACACACACACACACAAAATGTCCTTACAACAAAGGTGTTTTGGTTGGTGCTCACAAGCATAGACATAAAAGTGCACACACACACACACACACACACACACACACACACACGCAGCGCCATGTGGAGGCGGTGCAGCTAATATTGCAAAAAGGGCATTTTGGGGTCAGCATGCTCATGTTCCCCTAACAAGAAAAATGCCCCAGTGCTCTGATGTAGAAGGTCGAGTTTAAGGTTATGTGTCTTAGATTTAGCAGCGAGATTACCTTACAGCCCAGGTGTATCGGCGCTGCGGCTCCATGGCCTGGTTTCTGAATTGTTCTGGCCTCAGAAGACTTTTTAATTAATGCAGGAAATAAAGTCAGAAGTTCACATAAAGGTGCCCTGTGGAGTTTTACTACTTAACAAAACAAAAGTTGTGCTAACATTCAGGGTTATTCACTCAAACTCAGAGTCCTTAAGCTCGGAGAAATGTTCCTCATGAAATATTTACTGAGACTGTTTTGTAAGTATTTCTAATCCTGCATTGTTTACATCCATGTTTTGGAGCTCCAGGCACTCGGCTGGCTCTCTGCCTTCCTGCTGAACTGTTACACATTCCTCTGTTTGGATGTGAACGTTGGAGATTTAAAATAGTTTATGTTTAATACATAATGTGGCCATGGATTATCTGTGTGCATGGTGTAAAAGTGAACTCATCTAATATGCACAGAATACAGTTTAATCATAGTTATTTCAATACATACACAGCATTACTGGAGATTGACTGGCTGGGTATGTTCTGCCAAATCAGGTGGCGCTGCTACAAATAAATGTGAGCACAACTTGCGGGGGAAGTTGAGTCACAGATTTGGATGCTAGTCGCCCAAAGGTTGCAGATTTAAATCCTTGGCCAAAAGACGCTGGCAGACTGAAAGTGGATGATGAGCTGTGACAGTCGAGATCTGTTTCAGTCGATGATTTGTGCCTTGAAATAAATTACACTTTCTTTCTATTTGTCTGGGTGTGTATGTGACCTCCTGTGCTTCTGCAGCCAGCCTCTAGTGGACACTCGAGGAACTGCAGCCCGCACACATCGTATACACAAACAGGGAAAAGAAGAGCATTTGTCTCTCAAATAAACCAATCAGAAAGAAGTTCAATCCCCTCCATGTTACTTCACATATCCACATGAACTTGTATGGAAGCGATTAGTGATCAGAATTCAAATGATAAAAATAAAATCCATTAACAGAAATGCTTTTTAATTTTCAGAATATGGGTGTATTATTTGACTCAGAAATAAAACTATGAGTACAACAACAACATAATTCACTTTTTCATATCGAACCTCAAAGTTCTCATTCTAATGCAGGTCATTAAAGACCAGGGGAATCCAGAGGTAGTGACACAGCGTCTGTCTTTGCTGCAGCCCTCTAACTGGATAACTGGAGACTTCATATGTTTAAGAAGGTGGTACTTCACGATGCTAAAATGTGATCTTCATTTTATTCTGTGACTCGTCAAAAGAAACGTCCTTAACTTTTGATGGATTGGGCGAGAAGCTGACAGCATTATTAACTCCTAACAGCGGGTGTCTCAGAGGGGGCTCTGAGTTTCCTGAGATGTCTTCCATGTTGTCCCTGTGAAAGGTTCCAGAGGGTTAGGGTACGCTGTGCAGCTGAGACCCTGGAGGGGAATTTGTGATGTGGAGCTACATAAATAAAAATGACTGGAGCCGACTGACATGGAGGTTAATGTAAGGATTCAGTTTGTGAGAGAGAGTGAATTCAGAGACAGTCCTCACATTCCCAATTATTCAGTCCACGTATCCGTGTGTGTGTGTGTGTGTGAGTGTTTGACGTGTGTGAGTGTGTGGCCCGAGGACTCACCAGCAGAGACCTCTGATTTCTGCCGTCCTGAGACGTGGAGGGTCAGGTGCAGCCGGCTGTTGCTGATCTGCAGCACCAGTCTCTGGGGCTCTGGCTCCAGCTGCACGGAGAGCAGCAGTCCGTCTGGGTTCCACGTTCTGAACTGGAGGCGGGCGGAGAAACCCCCAGTGGCAGACGCTGCTGATGGCAGCGACAGGAAGCTGCTGCTGGAGCTCAGGAAGGTGCAGGCCACCAGCTGGGGCTGCGAGCATGAGAAGGTCACATTGCCCTGGAGGACGACAAAACACAAGGACACAGATTTAATTGTGTCTTCTGCTACATGTCAGAGCAAGCTGCTCTCAGGAGGAAGTCAGCGTGATGCGTCTGGAAATAAATGTCAACTTGATTTGCACAGAGAGCGAGAGGAAGCTTAAAGAGCCAATGAGCTGAACCTTACCCAGCAACAATAATCAAAAGTCCACTGAGTCATCAGGAACAATCAGTAACTCTTCATAATCAGTTTTGTGTTTCCACTGCACAGCTCCTACATTTCACCTTTTGTACATTTTGTGTTTTTTATATTTAACATTTTTTAATTCTATTTTATATATTGTAATATCTTCTTATTCTGTATTATTTAAGTTGTTTCTAGTTCTGTTTTATTTCCTTGTTAATTTATTATTTATTTTATTTATTTATTTCCAATACACCAAGTCAAATTCCTTGTATGTGTAAATGTACTTGGCAATAAATCCAGATTCTGATTCTGATTCTGATTCTGATTCTGATTCTGATTCTGAATCTGATTATAACAAACAGTCATATTTATAGTGTACGGATGTAATCAGGACATCATGACTGAAGGAAATGTCTTCATGCAGGGAAACATTTAGCAACAATGATGGAAAGGTAAATTACTTTTTCATCCTTTAAGTGTTAATCAAGAGATCGTTATCTTTACCTGGGGTGTGTTTTATTTTGAAGCTTCTAGTTTGGCAGATTTGCTGTCGCTATCCTGTTTTATTTTAGAGGAGTGTAACATGATTCATGCAGTCATATGACAAGTATGTCAAGTCGATAAAAAGTGTTTGCTAACCGCTATCAAACAACAAAAGAAGAAGAAGTAGAAGATGAAGAAGACAACAACAAAACACACAAACAACGCTCCACCATGAGGGCAACAACCTGCTCTAACGTCTATTTCACTTACATGCTCAGCAGAGGAACCAACGTGTTATATTGAAGATGACTTGAAACTAACGAGTGAGACCTCAAACTCATTGTGAAAAAGTCATGTTTGGTACACAATCAGACTTTGTTCATGCAGTAAAGTGTTCACCTGCTGGACGTTAGAAAGAATGATGTCTATGAGCATAAAGTAACTCAGTGATCAGATCAGTCTTCAGCTCCAATTATCAGAATTCATCATCTCAAACAGCAAACGTTAGCAAGCTTTCAATTCTGCTTTTACAGCAGGCTCTATTTCAGTCCTGCTCAGAACAGGCTGTTTCTGTGTCTGTACCTTTAAATATGTAAATGAGCTGTGTCTGACCACGCCCCCCTCTAAAAGGGCTTGGATGTCTTGGTCTTTCTTGCTCCATGTCCTATTGTTTACGGTGAGAAGGCAGACTCAGAGGGCAGAACAAACACCTAGCTGTGGGAGTGTCACCCACCTGGGGGAGGGGCTACTGCCCTTTGTGATGTCCCAAAGGGAAAATCTTCAAACGGCCTGTTTGCGCACACATTTTCTGAAAAGTGGAGCAGGCAGAAGATGGAGAGGATGGACTTTTCTCATCATTGGGGGGTTTGTAGACTAGAGACACATGTTAGAGGAACATGGAGAAGAATATGTGACCTTTAACTCTAACTATTGGCATAATCAAATTCATGAGAAACGCTTCCTTTAAATATCTCCTTCAGCCTTGAGGGAATCCAAAAACTCCCGAGCAGAAATGTGAGAAAAGTTGAAAGTTCAAGATGAGTCCATGAAATGTATTTGCTCCAAACCAACACAGCAGAAGAGCCAATATCAAAGCAGGAAGTTTACATTGGAGTGTAATTGGGTGCGGTGCAGAGGTCGTGTTAGGTACATTTAAACACAGACGTGGTCGTGTCTGCTGAGGTCACAGTCCCATCAGTCCCTGTGCCTGTAGGGCGCCGCACAGCAATCACAGCTCTTTGACTCTCAATGTGATTCCCTCCCATCAACCTCAGGGAGATAGTCCCCATTGAAATTCCATTACAGCTTCCATCATGACAGTCGCTCTCTCTCCTCCTCCCTGATTCTGTCGTCAGTAAAGGCCTTTTAACGCAGCAATCAGACGAGGAGGGCGGAGGCTGTCTCTGATGAGATGTGGCTCTGATTTGTGTGGGAAGCCGCCTCACTAAATGAATCCACTCGCACACTTGGACTTAATGATACAGCCGTTAGGATCACAGAGGACGTCATGACTGTTTGCACATTATTCTCTCCATCCAGCTCCTGAGCAGAGACAGAAAGACGCCTCAAAGCAAATAAATGTGAAACTGAAGCGAACGGGCGATGTGGGGACTTTATTATTTCTGGAACACTTGATAAGGTACGTTAAGATTTGGTAAAGATATTCATAGAACTAGATGATGACTCCTTAAGACTTCACCGTGTTACCACATAACCATTCCTTGAAGCGTTAGCACAGCCATGAGAAGCTGTAGAAACATCACAGGAGAACTACAAGATCACATAAGAACTACAAGATCACAGGAGAACTACAAATCACAGGAGAACTACAAGATCACATGAGAACTACAAGATCACAGAGAACTACAAGATCACAGGAGAACTACAAGATCACATGAGAACTACAAGATCACATAAGAACTACAAGATCACATAAGAACTACAAGATCACAGGAGAACTACAAGATCACAGGAGAACTATAAGATCACAGGAGAACTACAAGATCACATGAGAACTACAAGATCACATAAGAACTACAAGATCACAGGAGAACTACAAGATCACAGGAGAACTACAAGATCACATGAGAACTACAAGATCACATAAGAACTACAAGATCACAGGAGAACTACAAGATCACAGGAGAACTACAAGATCACATGAGAACTACAAGATCACATAAGAACTACAAGATCACAGGAGAACTACAAGATCACAGGAGAACTACAAGATCACAAGAACTACAAGATCACATAGAACTACAAGATCACAGGAGAACTACAAGATCACAGGAGAACTACAAGATCACAGGAGAACTACAAGATCACAGGAGAACTACAAGATCACAATAGAACTACAAGATCACAATAGAACTACAAGATCACATGAGAACTACAAGATCACATAGAACTACAAGATCACAGGAGAACTACAAGATCACAATAGAACTACAAGATCACATGAGAACTACAAGATCACAATAGAACTACAAGATCACATGAGAACTACAAGATCACATGAGAACTACAAGATCACAGGAGAACTACAAGATCACAGGAGAACTACAAGATCACAGGAGAACTACAAGATCACAGGTCTCAGTCTGAGCAGAGAAACTGATGTAATATTTCTCAGTATATTTGTATGTGGTAATTTAACAAATCTAATTTCTGCTTTGAGTGTTTATGAAACTCCTCGCTGATGTCTAAACTGATATCTAATTTAAATAGTGAGTTAAATCTGCATCAAAACGCCTCCATCAGTCACGCTCTTCAAGTCAAGCTCTCTGATTTAAATCATTTTAAGTTCCCGATGTTAAGATTACTGAATCATTAGAAGAAAATTAAAGAATACTAACTGCTAGGATCAAATATTTGTAGCTTCTGTGGTTTCTTTAAACTAAGAATCTAAAACCTTTGCAGCTTTCAGCATTTGAAGAGAAAAGAGATGTGCAGCTTTTCTTTGTTTCTCTTTGAGGTTTTCTCTGCTGGGCGGAGAGAGACACTGTTGGATGTCACTCTGGGATCCATTACTTTGTTCTTGTGTGATTAAACAGAGTGAAATATTAAACCTCTTAATGTAGAAACTAATGGAAGAGTAACTGATCATGCAGCCCTGGTCCTTAGGTATTTAATGCAGCGAGGGTAACAAACAGTGATGTTTCATTTCTCTCATTTCTGACCTTTCAGAAACTGTTTTTAGTTCTCCTTCTTGTAGGCATGTTGTGTTCTTCGTCAGCTGATCAGTTTTTCAGTCTTGTTTTTAGGTTTGTTTTGGCTTCTAAATGTTTAACATGTGCTTCTGCATATATCTAGATATATTATTGTAGAGAGCTGTCTCCCCCCCCCCCTCCTCTCTAGAGTGGATGCTCACTCAGGTCACCATGTGGTGGACTCTGAAGCTTCAGTGTTTATCCAGCTCTGCATGGGTCTGTAAACCTTTCTGTGTTCTAACCTCTCTCCATTTTTCAAAAGCATCTCCAATATTGATCCTAGTTTGAGCACGTTTCTGCTCGTGGAGCTTATTAGAAACATGCAGAGGCTTTTTAGGTCGGGTACAATCACTTCTATCTGAACCACTTCTCTTGACCGCTTCCATCGCTGCAACACCTGTTGACCTGATAACTGCTCTCATATCTGACAAACCGAGGGGCGTCCAAAACGGCCGTGTGAGGGGGGTCTTAAAAGCGCCTACCTTCTCTGGTCCAAACAAATCCAGAGCATTCAGGAGCAGAATCTAAAGTTAGAAGGAGGACATACTGGCTGCTGCATTGTTGTCAGAGAAGCCAGCACTTCAACATAGCATGTTTCCTTAATGATCAGAGAGTAAGATACCTTTATCATTTCTGTCAGCTTCTATTTTACTGATTGGACCTTTAAACTGTAAAAATAAATAAGTAGGTGGAGGAGAAGCTAACGTTCTATAACTGCATGCAGTAAAAAGAAGAAGTCTGAAACTTTATTGCACTCACCACACTGTGGATCTGAGGCTTGCGTCTCTTGGCCAGGTCGATAATATTGATTCCATTGTAGTAGAGGTTTTCCATGCAGCCGTGGAAGTTCTTCCTCAGAAAGGTGCCGGGTTTACCAGGCAGTGGGATGCCTCCGAAACTCAGCTTACAAGGAGAGAAGCAGAGGAGGCCGAGACCTTAGCACCCGCTTTCAAAAAACATTGTATAAATAAAGCACAGAATAAAACAATAGATGAGGAGTCTCACACACTTTACTGAATTTAACTGCATGTTCAACCCTCACTATCAGTGAAAACAAGGCACACACACACACACACACACACACACACACACACACACACACACACACACACACACACACACACACACACACACACACACACACACACACACACACACACACACACACACACACACACACACACACACACACACACACACACACACACACACACACACGTAGCGGCCTGAACATCAGACCCAGTGACTCAGCAAACACAAACCCACTCTCTGCTTCTATAAATACATCGGTAATGCTGCAGCCGTTTGGGGGGAGACCTTTTCTTTTAATGAGCGATCCTCAGAGAAAGCTTTTCCTGTTCTGCTGTGAGTGAACTTGGCTGGACCGAGCCGAGCCCTGACCTCAGCACTATCAAACCCTGACTGCAGGCCGGCCCGTATCAGCCAGCTCACTGATGCTGCTGAGGCTGGGACGGAGAAAATCCCCGCAGCCAGGTTCCAGAAATCTTTTTGAAAGCCTTCCCGGAAAAGCGGAGGCGGCTACAGCGGCAGATTAATCCCCGTCTTGGAATAATATTATTGTGAATCACAACGTTAGCATAATGTGTCCTCGTTCATTTAGTCCAACCAGGAGCGCCATGGCGGCCACTGTGCAGATTCAGACGCCACTTTTAATGGTCAAAGTCTCAGGGATTGACCTTCAGCTGAGGCAGCCAGAACGATTTAAATACTGAAAGAATGGAGTGACAGAAAACACTCCTATTTCTACAAAAGATTAAAAAAATGAATCATGTGGGACAAAGCTCGCCACATCAGCCATGGCGAGAAGTCCGATATATACGTTACATCGTTTACCCTTTAATTAAGAACGCCGGCACACTGACAAATAGAGATGGCGTTGTTAAACAGCGTGCAAAGGCTGCCCGCCTTCTCCACAGTCTGTCCTCTGAGACGACAGAAAGCGCCACGCTTCCTTCTTCTTCCTATCGTTCATTATGGAGACATCACAAGCCCCTCCCCCGAGGGTTTACTTACACTACAGCGTGTTTACCAGAGTGCTCCAGAGCCCAAGTGATGTTCACACACACACACACACACACACACACACTCTATCTCACCTCCAGTTCCACTAATTGAATCGTCTCACCTCGTAGTCGACCTCCAGCGAGTGTCCGTCTCCTCTGGCGTGGAAGTGCTGCATGTGTGCGTCCACGCTGACGTTAACCTGTTTGTTAAAGCGCTCCACGTGGACGGCGTGCCAGTGCTGGTCGTCCAGCAGACTGCCCACGGTGACCGCCACACGACTGCTGCTGAACCTCGGCCTGTTGTCGTCTGGAGGGAACACAGAAAGAGGGAGGGAGTTAACCTTTAAATGAAAACAACGTTAAACATCCCACGCCGCCGCTCGCTGACCGCCGTCTGCAGAGACGTTAACACAGTTTGTTTGTAGTAATGTTTATTATCGCCCAGATCTTTTTCTAGTTCAAAACAAACATGATGACTTCTTCTTCAATTATTATCTTATTATTATTATTATTAATTATTATTTAAAACCATCAGATGGATTTATGGATGCCACTAGCTACGGCCCCCTGGTGGCAGGCGTACGTTACTACAAATTACAATTTGCAGATTTAACTCAATATTTAAATTAGATATCAGTTTAGACATCAGCGAGGAGTTTCATAAACACTCAAAGCAGAAATTAGATTTGTTAGAATTGTATCATTAATTATGGTAGAAACATGTCGTTGATCCTCCTCGAGGGAGGGGGGCGTTGGGGGGCGTTGGGGGGCGTTGGGGGGCGTTGGGGGGCGTTGGGGGGGGGGGCGGTGTAGCTCACCTAAGTTGAGGTAGAGGTCGAGTCGTCCTCGATGAAGCTCCAGGGTGATGTAGTCTCCTCTCTGGCCCTCCCCGTGCAGGAGAACACCTTCAGCCTGATGACTCTTAAAGCGCAGTGAGATCACGTCCTTCACCGTCGACATCGACTTCTGGTTGAACCGATACAGCAACGAGCTTCTGCCGTCGAAGTCAGCGACATAGGACTCTAAAAGACGACACGATCAAGTTAGTGCTTAAAGGAGGAGTCAGAGGAAATGTTTGTAAACATTCAAACATGACCCCTCCCCCTGAAGCCCCGCCCCCTGCAGGACGTAGTGTGTACGTTTACTGCTTGTACCTACACTGCAAGCTAACACACACTAGCACAAGCTAACCGCCGGTGTTCATCACCTTCCTGTCCAACAGGAAGTAGATCAACTCCACGTCCACGAGTAAAAGACAACACAAGGTTCACCCTCGTTTTAGAACAAGCTTTATCCACTTGGTGTTTCTCCTCACTCTCATTATATTTTCTCTTCTTTAATGCTACGTCCACGTCCGTCATATTCACCGCTTTGAATCTCGTCCAATCACTGAACTGTATCCACTCCTAAACTCACCTGCTGCGCTGTCATTGGCTGGAGGAAACACACCAGCTCCGCCCACAAACGTCCCGAGTCAACCGTCACAAATCAGAACAGTAAAATCCAGTGAGAGGACAGAGTCTCTGCAGACACAGTCACCACCACACATGTACGGAGGCCCAGAAGGGACAATGGAGCAGCTTCACTTTAGGAGAAGTCTGTTTTATTTTGAAGGAGGAAACCAGCTTTACTTTAGGAGAAGTCTGTATTTTATTTTGAAGGAGGAAACCAGCTTTACTTTAGGAGAAGTCTGTTTTATTTTGAAGGAGGAAACCAGCTTTACTTTAGGAGAAGTCTGTATTTTATTTTGAAGGAGGAAACCAGCTTTACTTTAGGAGAAGTCTGTATTTTATTTTGAAGGAACCAGCTGCTGACTCCATGTGGTAAAATCTGAACTATTTGTAAAATAGGATGATGATGTAGAGCGATACTTAAAGTCCGACTTGAGATCAGCAGGTGAAAGTTTAACTTGTGTGCAGATCTTACTGATTTGACCTTTGAACCCGGATGGCGACATAGCGACCTGTCATACAAATAAAGTCCTTTCTGCCTCTGAAAGTCCAAGATGGCGTCTGTGTTTAACGTGCTGTGGATCACAGCGGGCGTCACACAGATTTTAAAGCCCTGAGACTCGTTATCTTTTATATTTGCAGTTTTAATGAACGCTGCCCGACACGAGGAGACGAGGCTGCTCAGCCAACAGGAACGCTCTGCCGTGCGGCGGCCGAGCTTCATAAAGAGATCGCTGTGAGAGATTCTGTGTTTCACAGAGCAGCTCGTCTCGTTAGTGGCGCCTCGCACCGCGTGGGAGAGGCGTGTCATTAAGTGTGGTGTTTATGGAGGTTACTGTCACTTTAACACGATCATACTCAATCTGTTATTGTATTTCTATGTTAATAAAAAGTTATACGCTCGCAAGAATTAAAACGATGGTTGTTTTCTCTCCCGCACGCCGGCCTCAGACGATGATGTTCCAGACAAACCGCCGTCTCGTCATCCTCTCCTGTGATTGGCCCCTGCAAGCTCCTGTACACGAGTTCACCCTTAAAGTGCTCGACAAGAATCGTCCCCACCTCAGAGCTCAACATCTGTCTGTTCTATAACATTCTGCGTGGCTTGGCTCCTCCCCCTCTGAGCACCTTAGAGCTCGCCAATGTGACCAGCCGATACCTCGTGTGTCTGTCGTCCGCCTGCTCAGGGTCTACAGCAGGAAATGAAACTTTAAACCGTGTGGATGAACAGAGCGCCGCACATCCTGAGAGCGCTCCGGTGTCAGCACGCCGTGTGGCGTTGTGGCTGCGTCTGGCGAGCAAAGTTTCGCCGAGGAAACTCACTCTGATGTTTTCTCGAGCTAATGAGCTGA